TACATTTCAATGTATTGAACAAAATACATCGTCAAATTCATCGAATAAAAAATAGATAAATACGCGATAATTCGATATTTATTGCATGGTATAGGAGTCCAATATAAGATTTGAATGGAATTTCTGGAGTTTAAAACTCCAGAATTCATTGAAATAATAAAATAATGTCTGGACATAAACATCAAAGTGTTATTTAAATGTTTCTTCCTTTCTTATAATTAAAAGATTCCGAAACTGTGTGTCTGTCTGTGTGTATATTCGTGTACGTGTACACATTGTTTAAAATGACCATTTTGTATTGTAATCGGTTTATATCGAGGGCTTTATTTCTCTTTGAACATAACTTCTACGATTTTAAGAAAATAGATACATAGTCTAAGTTAATTAAATATATATTTAAGATTTAACAATAAAATTTAAAGAGTTCTTAATGATTTATTTGAAACTTAAATCTTTGTTTCCGAATAAAATTATTTTACAGTATATCTTTTCTTAATAAACAAACAATTAATTAATCATACAATTTTATAAATAGGTTGTCAAATTATTGATTCAAGGATTTCCAGATCAAACAAATGAGATTTTTAATTCAATATCAAACAAGATAAACGGATTTACGAGAAATTCGGTCGCTTTGATTCTTTAGATCAGTGGTTCTCAATTGGGGGTACATGTACCCCTAGGGGTACGAGCGTAAATCGAAGGGGTACATCTAACTTTCATTATAAAATGGCTTATATTAATCAATTTGCTGTAAATTATTAACACAAGAAACAAGAAACAACAAAAACTTGCTTTAAAATATCCCAGTGTGAACACCGATTTACCTTTTAACAGTCTAAACAACTTGTTTATGCACTTGATTTGCCTGTCTATTTGTGCCGTTAGTGCCGAGTGAACCTGTAGTCTAGTAAAATTACGGTTTAACCGAGCATTAATTTTAGAATAGAAAAAAAAAATTTTTTTTATTCTATAATTATTGCTCAATAAGATTGGGGGCTTTTCATGTTTTTACTGGATTACTGGTATTAAGAATAACAAGGCTTGGATCGTACCCCCACCATGCAATGTGTGTCACTGCATGCGCGCATTACTTGATATTTAGCAAATTTAGACGTTACATTTGTTACAAAAATTGAAAGATTCGTGTATTGTTCTGCACGTTATAAATTCGCAACCATTACTTTCAAGGTCAGTACACAATTATAATCTCTATTTAACAACGTGGGAACCAAATTTTGAAAAAATTGCTGAAGATTTATCGCGACAAATATCCCATCAAATTTTGTTAGAAATTACAGTATTGTAGAATAATTTAAATTTTCTTTATCGTTAATTATAATTACTTATTTTTAGGAATTGTAATTTATGCATGTATTGAAATGACTTCTGTGATTTTATATAATATACTTGTCAAATAATAATAAATAAATGTATATACCTAATTAAATTTATTATTATTTAGGTAAAATAAGTAATTCACTTTTAGTTATAGTTAGTTAGTTAGAGTTTTCTTATGGCGCTCAATTATAAGGGCTGTATACATGTAACGCAGTAATTATAAAATTTACATACAAAAATATAAGGGGTACTTGATAAACAACTAATGGGCTAATGGGGTACATCAACAAAAAACGTTGAGAACCACTGGTGTATGTCACATACTTCTAGGTAATAATTAACATAATTACAGTAATTTAAAATGGTAGCATATCATTTTGGAACACACTGTATTAAGTAGGACTGACATTTATATTTAGTACCCCCTTACATTTGCATATCTTTTTAGGAAACACAGCTATGGTTAAGAACAAGTAAAATGAGCTAAAACTACACAGAATAGAAGAACCACTAATAGCTGCAATACAGATTTGAACATGCGCTACATATAGTATTTATGTAAAAATACTGGTTCTCAATTGGAAACCAGCATATTAAAATTAAAAAGTGTTCTCTTTAGAACACTTTAATTTTTAAATTACTTCCGTTGCATTTGATATACGTTCGTATGTTTGTTTTATGTTAAATTGGTGTACTTCACTGAGGAAGGCCTATGATATTAGGTCAAAAACTTTTGAATTATTAAATATACTCTGTTGGAGTTACAGGGTGTACTGTTTCTTTTGTTTCTTATTCTCCAGTTAGAACTTAATTTTAAGTGATTGTTTTTTGTTGGAAAATTTAATTAAAATAAATTAATTTGCAAATATAAATTCCCATATATATGGGAAAATTGTACAAATTAACAAAATTGTTTCACTGTATATATAATTTGGATTCCTGTTATTTTCAGATTAATAGATAGAGAGGGACAAGAGTGTCTAGTAATATTAAATTTTATGATTGTGCTAGATAAAAACATAGTTTTTAATTGCCCAAAAATTATTTTTAGTTCCAAAATTTTATTTTATTATCAAAGTATTATAAGTTATATGAAAGCAAGGGTTTTCCAAAGTCAAAATTGTCTATTTTATTTTGATTGAAGCAAAAGTGAACAAATAAATAATACAATAATTTGTGATGAGAAAAATTTTTTAGTTAATAGATTTCCAGTCAACTTACAGATTCCAATAGTTAGATTAATTATTTTAGAATAAATTCTTTATTTATAACTTAATAATTTTAGTTGTATAAAGTTAAAAATAAAAATGTATATTAATTACTACATAAAATATGACTTTATTGATTTATATATTATTATTACAGTGAAATGCTAACAGGCAATATGCAAAGACAAAGTTCCTGTGAACTTGAAGTGGATTGTTGTGCTAAGGACATTTTAAATAAGCGAGAAGAAACTGGTAAGCAATGAATTATTCATAAACTCTGCACCATTTGTACGTTTACAGCAACCAAATTTATTACCAATACAAGTGTTTTTGGCTAATTTTGTAAGCCTGTATCAGGCCTTCATATAGCTTCCAATCTGATAACATTTAAAATTGGAATGTTACTCATAAATGATGTTATTTATAAAATTTTAAAATATAGAATATAGATAATGCTTATAAATATTCTATATTTTACATCATGTAACCAAATTTATGGTTGCATTTCCAGCAACCATAAATTTGGTTGTCGGAAATGCAGTTTAATAGTTTCAGCTTTTTTTATAATGAATTGACTACTTTAAATAATTATGTATAAATGAATTATGTAAAAATGTGGCGTTTCTTTTTGACTACATCTTGCCTTCATATTAAAAATGTTAAACTAAACTCCTTATTACATAAGACTGTATTAAGTAAGGAGTTAAGTTTAATTTTTAAATTTAAGCTAGTACTTTACTGATGATTTGTTTTATAAAATGGCATAAGATGATATTTTTAAATTTATTTTGAAGATTTTAAAATAAATGATGAATTTCTTTTTCAAATAAGCAGTTTAATTTTAATTTTAAATGTCTTTAGTTTGCATTTAAATTAAAACGTTTCAAAAGTGTCATGTTTACTATTTAAAATTNGTACTAAAATTTACTATTATTAAAGAATTTTTTTTTTTGAGGTTTTAAGTTGATTAGAAATATTTTTTACTGAAGTTTTTAGAAACAAATTAAACAGTAATTTATTAAAAATTTATTGAGAAGAAAATAAGTGTGACTAATCATTTAAGATTTCAGAATGTCGTTCCATCAAAAGATCAATAGTTCTTCAATTAGTTTACTATGTAAAGCAGAGAAACAACAGTGCTGGACGAACAGGATTTGAGATAAGTTGATAACATTTAATGCAAATTGATAGTTTTATCACTAATAACTATCATAAAATTGAATGCAATACAAAAACAATCTCTAACTTTTCTATCGATCTACATTTTTAATTTGCTATGAATTATTTTCGTTTAGTCCATTTAATTTATTATTTATGCTTAAAAATTGATCGTTTGACTCGAAGATTAATAAAATATTTCTTCTACGTGGATCTATACTCTGTTCATTTTTCAAAAACTTTAAAAATCTAAGCGCGAGACAATATCAATTATGATGATGATGAGGATGAAACATCAACTAAGCGTATTTGTTAAAAGTTATAAATGAATGATTAATAAAATTACATAAATTTTAATTATAGTTAAATGCATTAATTGATATTAAAATTTAAATATTTACTTTTTATATATACTGATACATGACTTAAATAATGTAACTTTTTAACTTACGTCAGATTCATATATTAACATTTTCGCATTTTTTAATTAAAATCAATCCTCTAACACATTTAAAATAATAATAATAATAATAATAATAATTTGTTTTATCAATAATTCTCCAATATTTTACCGGAGCATAAATTTACGATAGTCAATATCAAAAATAAAAACTTCTTTAGTGTACATTCGCACGAAATTTAATACGCAAAATTTATTTGTTAAGAAACTACTCAGTTAATTTTATTTGAAAAAAATATATATAATAAAATTAATTATTGTAAAATCGACATGAAATTTCGTCTTGGTTTAAAGTTGATAGATTCCGATGCTCCTGATAATCAGTAAACACCTTCAGGTTCTGTTGCAGAAAGGGAAAGTTATAACGGAGGGACAACGCTTGCATAAAATTTGCATAATCCGTACCTAACTGTAAATGAGATCGATAAATAATCTGACCTATGTAGGAATTAATAAAAAATTAAAACTTTCTAACAGAATCGATTTCTATCGTTATCGATTTTTTCGAAGATGCCAAACAAAAATAACGTTGAGATTTGTTGCAAAATAATTTAACCACGTCAACACTTTTAAAGTGTAACAATGTATATACCTATAGATTATTATTATTATTTTAACAGCGAGCGTATATAAGCAGTAAAGTTTTCTTTCTTTCTTTTTTTTTGGCAGATGTAAAATCACATCAGGAGCTAAAACTGCAAACAAATCGAATCGAAATAATTCTGGCACGCGTCCCGACTGTTATAACACAAGCGTTGGCACTATATATATATATATATATATACATACATGCCGAGCTATGATACTATAATGCAATGCATTTGATTACTTACCTGATGTAAAGTTGCCGTCGAGAGTGGCGATGGGATGCACAAAACGTTAAAGCCAGATATCGGTATTGGATGCGCATGTCCGACCTTGGAATCGTCGAGCCCCAGCCGGACACATATAACATTCCAATGAAGTTCGAACATTTTGTTCCCTGGCTTATTAATTATGGCACCGTAACCTAGTTCTAAGTCTCTCCCCCCCTCCATTAAACCCTAGAACCTAACGTTATTCGAGCACTTTCAACAAGAAACAAATTAGTGCATTTGTTCTCCGTAGCCCGTACGATGTAAAAAAATTTGCATTTAATTTGCATTAAAATAATTATAGGAGGTGGCATTGGATTAACGGCGTTAAATATATATATATATATATATATATTACTAGGATGCGTTGGAGCGAGTTGACGCGCTGTAATGAATATGCAGCTTTATACGAGAACGACAAAGGAAAAGTTATGTAGATTATAAACAAAATTATATAAAATTTAGTAAAAAATATAATTAATTTAAGATTAAAATTTTCGGTTAAATTTGCAAGCACTAACATATGCTTGCAACTTCATCAATGTGTTTGTGTGTTATAATAATATTCTGCGGTAGAAGAGCGTTAAGAAGGAATTCGGAGATTAAATGGTTTAGAAATAATAATAAGAAAATAAAAAAAACTACAAAATATGATGCAGTGATTTAAAATGTTCGGCATTTTAATTTTTTGTTTTTATAATTGCAAAAAGTCACGGGCGATTAAGTGCACAATTATGCAAATTATATTTAAAAAGCACGCTCGAGAAGAAATTTATGCACGAATCTACATCTGTCTAAATAAAAATTCCGGATGCAAGACTGGTGGAAAAAAAAAACAGATATTTGCTATTCTCCCCCCTTTTTTTTTTACCGTTCTCCGAAGAAACATAACGACGGATTTTTATTATTATTTTATTATTTCCACCCGAGTCAGTTCGTCCGTGTTCTGTCGATACTGCGGTTCTGGTGAGTACGTCAGAGATGACGTAACCGAATGAAACCTTTGACGTAAGAACAAAATAGGCGCGCGTTTTGACAAGAAAACTTATCGGTAACTTTTATATAACTACTACAAAATCGATATTATACGACAAACATGTAAAAAATCTAATTTACAAAATCTCCCAAGGGCACTTTAACCTCTCTTCTTTTCCTAAATTCAGTTTAAACACTTAGTTATACAGTGTGTTTTTTTTTNTATTGAAATGACTTCTGTGATTTTATATAATATACTTGTCAAATAATAATAAATAAATGTATATACCTAATTAAATTTATTATTATTTAGGTAAAATAAGTAATTCACTTTTAGTTATAGTTAGTTAGTTAGTTAGAGTTTTCTTATGGCGCTCAATTATAAGGGCTTTATACATGTAAAGCAGTAATTATAAAATTTACATACAAAAATATAAGAAGTACTTGAGAAACAACTAATGGGCTAATGGGGTACATCAACAAAAAACGTTGAGAACCACTGCTTTAGATGATAAACGAAATTGGATATTTAAATGTTAGTTCAATTTCCCGTGCACTTTTAATTGGTGGCTCTTATCGTACTGAAAGAATATGGAATTACTCAGAACTATATTTTGGTCCACTAGAAAACATTGGATTATTAAATGCAATTTTATTATTTAAATTAATGATTCTCAGTCCACTTATAAATTATCAAAAGCAAAATAATTTTTAAATAAAAACTTTATATTTATTTTTAATTTAAGCAAAATATTATGACGTGTATGAAATTGTTTTCCTCTTCGTTCCTTATGCTATAAAAACATGACAGCTATTTTATTTTTTTTACACGTAAATCCCTTTTATAAATGTATCAGCTGATTAATTACATACTTTCTTATAATTGTTTAATAATTTTTCATTTGAAAATTAATGAATTCTCCTACGGATTTAATTATAAGTTTTATAAACAAACATATCAAATATAAGTTTATAAATTAAAAGTAAAAAAAAAAAAGTAATAGGAAACAGCGAATAAAATCTAGAATATGCCGAATTAGACTACATAGAATTTTAATTTTAAAAAAATTTATTTATTTTTTGACAAAGCTATTGAATGTAGAATTAAATAAAAAGAAAGTTTATAAGAATGGAAAATTGGCAACAATCTTTATCATAAAAAGATTTAGAATAAAATAANATGGACCATTTATTTTGAAAGTGGTGTAAGTCCATTTTTGAGAAAAATGAGCTATCACATAATTCATGCTTAATTTAATGTAAACTTTTTATATATAATTAGTTCGTGTTTAATTTCTCAAAAAAATCCCATGTTTTGTACAACTTAAAATCGGTCGGTAAATGAATTAGCATAACCGTCGATTATGAAAGTGGTGTAAGTCCAATTGACAGAGGTAGGTGGCATAGCAGATGGATGCCGATCAGTAATTTGTTATTTTTCATTTATTTTATATTATGTGTGATATTACGTGTCAACAGTTGCTAATTTAGGTCAGTTATTCTATTTTTCTGTTAAAATGGCTAAGTTCATATTAACATCAGATAGTGATATAGGTAAGAACAAATGGTAAACCGCTATTATCTTATAACAATTGAAAATATTTATTTTATTTCATTATAAATAAATTTACACAGACATAAAGCCCATGAATATAAACAGAAGAATAATGTTAGATTCAGAGGATGAAAATAATTCCGCTAAGAAGAATAAATTAACGAATCGAAAAAAGAGAAGAAGAATTATAGAGGTAGAATCTTCATCAGATGAAGATATTGTTATTGAGAACTTGGATTATGCGAAACAAAACAAAGAAAAATATTTGCAACAAATAAACAAAATTAAGCGAAATAATGGACAAAAATACTATACAAAAAGAGGAAAATTCATTCCTGCAAAACAATTTGAATCCAAAAATTGTAATTGCTCGCAGAAATGTATAGAACGTATTAATGAAGCACAACGTATGGAAATTTTTGATAAGTTCTGGAATATAGGTGATTTTAATAAACAAAATGTATTTTTATATGGTAGTGTTCAACGAAAATCTGTAAATAGAAGACGGCCTAGAAATAATTCGGGCACTAAAAGAGCATATGCTTATAAATTTTACCTAGTCACTTCTGGTGGAAACATTTTAGTATGTAAGAAGTGTTTCATTAATACTTTCCAAATATCTACTGGACGAATTGATCGTATCCTAAAATCGCATGAGAACATTCCGAATGACATGCGTGGAAAAATGGATGGCTCTTGCAGAAGAACTAGTGAGCTACTGACGAATACAGTGATAGACCACATAAAAAGCTTTCCGGCATTTGAAAGTCATTACACATGATCGCAAAATCCAGAACTAATGTTTTTAAATCCGGAATTAAATATAAGAAAAATGTATAGTTTATATTTGGAAAAATGCAAGGAAAACAACTTGAGCTCAGTTAATGAATGGACATACAGGAAAATCTTTAAACGAGATTTTAAGTTACGCTTCCATTTGCCACGTAAAGATACCTGTGTGAAATGCGATTTCCTAAACATGAAAATTAAGACTATAACTGATGACGACGAAAAAACGATTCTTGTAGAAAGACATGATATTCACTTGCAAAATGCTGAATTATCAAGAAAAGCATTACAAGAGGATAAAATTCTAGCATCGGGAAATCCTGATAAATACTTTGCTTTCACTTTTGATTTACAAAAAGCCTTACCATACCCGAAATTGTCTGTCTCAATCGCATATTACAAACGAAATATGTACGTCTTAAACGAGGGTTTTCACAATTTACACAATAATAACGTTAATATGTATGTGTGGGACGAAACCATTGCGTCTAGGNTGTACACGCTGTAAACAATACTGGTTCATTTTTCAGGTACGTTGAACAATCCATTCACATGTCTGTAGCTGAATTAACTCAAAGGACAGTGCAGTATCCATTTCTGTTACGTAACAAAACTCGGTCAAAGTCACGTCTTATTTGCCGTTTCTCAGAATTTAAACTTTAAACTACTAGTCTACTAATGTGTTCGTTATGATACAGCTTCAAAATTATCTCCATCCAAAAGGATTATCCTGTAAATTACAATATTTCAGTAATTAAAAACGTTCACATTCCTCTGATTGATATTGTTATCTATCCCGTTATTTATACAATCATTATAATAGACTATTGTTAGAACTCTAATATTACAACTTGATTATAATCGAAATATTCGAATCTGCTAAATGTTATACCAACTTATAAGAGTTTGTTTGTTTCTATGTATTTGCCAGTTAACATAGGTGCCAGATGCACTTTTCAATCTGTAGTATATCTATGTATTGTATAAATATAGCAAAAGAAAATTTACGTAAATCTCAATAAGACACTGTTGTATCTAATTTATAATATACTACATAAGTTAATGATTAATGACATTAAAACAGAAATGAAAATATATTAAAAATTTTTTTTAATTTTATTTTCTTTTAACATTACTCTTTTGTCACCAAGTTATCTGGGAATGAAAATTGAAAAAAAAAAATTTAATAAATTTACTGTAAAGACTTTAAAGTTTACATTAAAGAATAACTAAATTATTAAATATTTTAAATGCGAAGTTAAGTCGTTAATTGTGAAGAGATTTATATTAATGTTATTCTTCGAGACGGCGATTACTGTTTTCGAATAGTTTCTGGCTAACAATTACGTATTATTTATTATAAACATATGATGTAAGTAGACAAAACTTCGCTCTTGTAGTTAGCTGAGTAAGCAGGCAGTTCGGGTAAATGTTCTCTAGCAGACGATTGCGAAAGGGAAGAAGAAGAAGAAGAAAGAAAAAACCTGCAGACAATTCCATCGCATATTATGTTGGACAATGCATAAAGACACACGCATGCTACCATTCCAAAGATAGAAAGTCGCATTCTCCTACGAGTTTCTGGCACGTTGAACCAAGTATAAATAGTCATCTTGTTTTGTGTCGGTTGCTTCCATTTTCTATCCTTTACTTCCCGAATTCGAAATATATTCAAAAGTTTAAATTTAATCTACTCTTAAAATATAGCTTCATCTTGATATTAAAAGAGCAGAATGTTCTATTTTTTATTTTTTTTATTTTTTGGAATAAATTTAACGTCAAATGGTACATCTTAAAACTCATATCCTGTAATCTCGAAAAAAGAAAAAAAGAAAAAAAAACTGATAAAACTTACTGCATTTCCGGGACAATATATTGCTGTTAAGTTTATCGGACTGAACAATATTTCCTTTCAAGGAAAATATAATATCAATTGAATGAAATTTTTACTCTAAATATCCTCCTTTATATAAAAACTGTTAAACTTCTAAATTCTATTTTAATATTATTTTTAAGCAGTTTGAAAGGGGAAAAAACAAACTATTATTATTGTTTATTTGTCTAGTAGTGTATTCTTTTCTCTATTCTTTTGTTTTCTCTGATTGTTACTTAGCTCTATTTCTAAATTATTTAGTATTTGGTTTCTTCAAATCTTCATATAAACTAATATAAAATGTTTTTTTTTTTTTTTGCAGCTTCAACAGAAATTATCGGTATGTAGATGATTTTAACTTGTTCACTTAGCTATTATTTCAAATCTATAATAACAACAAAAAATCAGTCTATAATAATAGACTGATTTTCTAACTCCATATTTATAGATCAGAGTTATTGATGAAATATTTTAATTTCCATTTTAAAAAATAAGTAAGTATATATCATTAAACTGTTCATACCAACTTATTCAGTATAATTTTACCTTTTGAACAAATTTAATCAATCATGTTGTGTTTCATTTGTGTGTGTAAACACCAAATCAGGTGCATACATTGTAAATTATATTATTTATATAGTCAAGAAATAAAAATTAACTAATTATATATATATATATGATTTAAATTAACGTTTATGGTGGGTTAGAATAGTCAAAATTTTCAATAAATAGAACACTATAGCATTTTAAAGGAAAACGATTTCTTACGATCCAGACAGAGCCAAATCATGAATCCAGACAATGATTAGGTCAGAAGGATCATCAATTTAAGGTCGATGACTCTTAGATAATCCTCATGCACGAATTGATCAAATGTTTTCGATGATTGATTTTCATTCTTAAAAAAATGAAAGAATGAATGGAAATTAGCCTATTGAAGTAAAAGATAGTGAACAAGTTAAAATTATATCATTGCCAATACTGTAAATTTTTGTTGAAGCCCCATAACATTTGATATTATCACGTTCCCTAGAACATTTCTATGATTGTAATCTCTTTTTTTCCCCCTGAGAGATTTAATAATGAATTTCACTTAATAAAGTTTTCATAGAATAAGTTTATTAGATACGTTCCCTGCTAAATAACCGAAAAATTGTTAGAAAAGTAATAAATTAATTATTTAGATAATAAATATAAAAATATTATGTATATAAAGTATATTTTTTTCAACGATTAAGCTTCATAATTTTATTGTTAATCATAAAAATAATTTTTTTTCAGTTAAATTACTAGTATATTGCTTATTGATAAAATGCCTAGTAGTGTCTTTTTTTTTAAAATGAATATTTTAAAGCATCTTTATTGTATAAAATTTTTAATTAATTAATATTTATTAAATAAATTTTTTGATTCGATTGTTACGTAAGTTTTGTGTTAACCGGCGATTCGAAAGTACTGACACGTAAACAGAGCGTTATTAACAGTTATATAATTTATTATCCATTATTAAATATAAAATTGCCATTAAAATCTATTTTATAATTGTCTGAAACTTATTTCGTAACAGGGAATAAAAAGCAATAAATCTATTTATGAATTTGACACCTGCGAATTAAATAGAAAATAATGAAAATTAGCAAAGACCTACTTAAAAATAATTCTTCGTATAAAGTAAAGAAATAAAAGACAATAATTAATAATGGAGACAATTTATAATATATATAAATAGGCAAATTTAGAACGATTTTCGTCACATGAAACTTCTTAGCTAAACCCTCAACGAGAAGCAAATTAACAATTTACGTTAAATATATAGACATTATGGAAATAAAAGATCGATGAAAGATGGACAAAGACGAATTTACAATGCCAATTGCTTATACTTCGAAAGTCATTGTGGTATCAGGAGACTAGGCGACGGCCTCAGGCGACATTTTTCCTAATAAACCTTTCTTAAAAGTACTATTATACTATACAGTACATACAGTACAATAGGGTGGCATTCGCAATCCGCTACTGGTCATACATTCTCTCATGAAAGACTAATTTTAAATACGTACAGTACTTGTAGAAGTAAACTATATATGAAAGTTTTTAAATTCTACTTTTATAGATTCATAGCCTCATTTAAATAATACACGAAAAAAAATTTAAAATTCTAGTCTCATTTCCCAAACATTTAGAAAACTAGTAGCCTACATAGGCTATTAGGCCTATGTTACAGTAGTCTTTCTCCAGTGTTTATTCCACTTATAATCTGGTATAATAATATTTTTTAATATTAGTTAAAGGTATATAAATTATATAATTTATAAAAAATACATTATCCTTTTTAACATGGCTCATAACTTGTATTTTCTCATAGGGTTTCATAGAATTAACTACATTAAAAATGTATCTGTATATATTTAAGATAAAAAGTTAAAAAAATTATTCTAAAATGTGAAAAAAATCATCATTATGTTCGTTATTTCTTCAATAAGTAATCTTTAATTCAAGGGAAAAAAATAGCCCATTTTTTTACAACCAATTTTAGTATCGATTTTAAATTATTACCTATTAATTAGGGAGAAGAACTGAAACAAATAATTATAATTTACTAAAGTTTGTAAAAATTCGTAATTAATTAAAAATTAAATCCAATTTAACGATTTAAACTTAATTAATTTTAACGGGAGAAAGTTTTTAACTAAAACAACCACCACAGAGAGAGATTTACATAATTAAAATAATTATTTTTTTAAGTTCATTTGACCGAGAGAAGATAATGAATTTTAATCCGATAACTTAAAAAAAGTGTTTATTATTTTATTCGGAAATTAAAGTTTCATTAATAAATGAATTAATTTAAGAAAAACGAAAGTTACATCCATAGAGTAATATTCGATCTTTCTACCATTTTAATGATATGGGCAGGATAATGTAACTGTTGACATTTAAGTAATGATATCTGCCAAGTCTCTTGTTGCGTTAAATGTGTTGAATATTTTTAGCATGATTTACAATGTGAAAGCATAAAAATGTTGCTTATTCGTTTCTAGGCCCTTTTATATTACGAGTCGAAATAATATGAATTCGAATTCTGCAATATTTAATTATTCACCATTTATTCAGCTTTCTCCTTAAACCTTTCAATAGAATACATTTAATTTTAGTATTATTATTATTTTTTTTTTTTTAAATATTAAAATTTAAATGATTAACAATTTAGATGTATTCAT